ACTTCTTCTCAATAACCAAAAGGCCCAGGGTACTGATATTGGGCCTGTAGCATGCTGGGATGAAGGACTATCAAGTTTGTTCAACTGAATGACCTTGACCAACTTTCAAGGTCACAGGGGTCAAATGTCGTAAAATCTTCAAGCGACTTCTTTTCAATAAGCAAAAGGGCCAGGGTACTGAAATTGGGCCTGTAGCATGCTGGGATGAAGGATTACCATGTTAGTTCAAATGAATGACCTTGATCCACTTTCAACCTAATGTCCTTGTTCGACAATCAAGGTCAGAGGCGTCATATGTTTAAATCTTTTAATAGGTTCTTATGAAATCTTAAGATTACAAGTGTTAGATTAATAACAGGTGAGCGATGCAGGCCCATTGGGCCTCTTGTTTGTTTTTCAAAAGAATTTGCTTTTCGCCTATTTACAAATTTTACCCATGAGACTTGAAATACAGGCTAAATTAATTATTTTCACATACTTTGAAGTACATCAAGCAAAAGACTTGTCAAATATGCTGGACCATGCACTAAGGGTGCCAGGGGCGGGTCCAGGTGAGGGCGTTTTCAAAAAAGAAAAAAAAAAACTTTCGTAATCTGCTCATATTGTATTGAATATGGCAATTTATCATATTCATTAATTAAACACATACTCTAATTTCTTTTTATACTTATTCCCCCATCCGATTGGTGATCCGTAAAATTTCGTTTCTCATTTAAATATACCATAGACAATTAATGGAGAGAATTCGGCATAAAACATGCTCCAGGTTAGGAACCGTTACATTAGTGCATTTCACAATTATTTTATGGTTTTTTTTAGCAAAAAAAAGGTCCAAAAACATTTGATTCTTCGCCACCTCTTTCAAATATCCTAGAAACGCCCCTGGGTGCTATATCAAAATATCAAAATCATCAGACTGCTGATTTATTACAGATCTCTTGAGATATTTTGGCACTAATTGGCCCCTCCTCTATTACAAATCTGTATCAACTTCATCTCGGAATAATACTCCTTTCCAAATTTGGATGCAATTGACACATTGGTTGATGAGAAGAACACATAATGGATGGCCTGGTGAGATAAACAAGAGATCCCAGAGGGATCTTGGTGCCCACCATTGTACCATCTTTATTAGTTCTATATCACATTGATCCTCTCTCTTATCTGTTTGATCAAGTTAGGTAAACACACCATTTCACATATTTACTAGAACAGTTCTTTAAATGTAAGAAAAATAGATCCAATCATTACAATATCAGAAAGAGTACTATCTCTGGCCATCTTGTTTTTATGATCACTCTCCAAAGTAAACATGTACAACTACAGATCAAGGGGAACCTACATATCAAATTTGAAAAAAACAGATACCTCCAGAACTTCATGAGAAATATAGATAGCAAACATTCACTGTCAAAAATAAAGAAGTGTGCCTGTCAGCCATTTTGTTTATCTGATCAGTCTCCGAAGTAAACATGCACAACTACAGATCAAGGAGAGCCTTAAAGGGACATCACGTGAAGAGCCATATTTTTTTTAATGAATGTATGTATTGTATGCACTTCCCATATTCATAGTCTGTTCCAAATGTCCAGTTTGACCACTTGAATTGTTCGGGAAAGCCCTGCTAAAAATAGCGCTGATAATGTCACCTGACTAGGCAGTAAACACAAGTGGTCTGAGCGAGATGAAACGATTTGCAACTTCTTACCGCGCTATGAAACCAAGTAATATGATTTCTAAGTCTGTATTCAAACTTATTCAACAGTAATCATTCATCATCAGAAGTTAATTGCACGCTTGCCAATATTCAGAATTTAAATTCATTTAGCTTTAAACATATTTGTTGCCAATAAAATTGAACAAGGGATGGGGTACAAGTTTTTACAATTTATCACAGCCTTCTCCCGTCATACATTTACAATTAAATGTCAACAATGATAATAGGCATAAACATTAAGTAGATATTTATAAATATATATTGAATTTAGTACCGGAATGTGACCGGTACAGATGGTACGGGGCTAAAGACCTTCCCTACACCAAGGGACAAACCTTTCTGATTTTTTTTTATATATTGCCGGGGCAGAGGAGGCCGGGTATTCATATTAGTACTAATTTAAATCTTGCATGTAAAAACAAAAATAATCGTATAATTCAGCAATATAATTAAATCATACCATTTTACTGAACCCGGTANAAAATCAAACTAACCAGTCACTTATCCCTTCCTTTCGCATAAACCACTGAATAATTATAGAAACACAAAGTAAACTCTCTCCAATACATGCCCATTAACATATTAAACTAAGTTCATCTGTGTTCAAACTCAAACTCAGACAATGATACTAGCGAGCTTAATAGTTTTAGATATTTATTCATAACATAAACAGCACTAGCATTTCTGTCGATTCTATTTCAGCTTAACCGGCTATCCGGAAGAATACATGCACCGTACTAACTGCTAGGGCAGTTATTTTCTTCTTTGAATACTGCCGACCTGCAAAAATGATTCCGTAACGTACTCCTTGCACTATCTTTTGACCATTTGGCAACTTTTCGTTTCGTAGCTGACACGGTACAACACTTTTCTTTCGCTTACTTCACAGGGCCAGTCATTTTGTTTACAAAGAAATGGTGTGCTATGCGCATGCGCTAGTAGAGGGAAATCCCTGAACAAAACGTTGGTCAGACAGGTAGAAATACCGATGATTATCTTAGATTTAATCATTTTTATGAATCTATTTCAGCCAAATCCGATCGTTATTTTCCATAAGGAGTCTCACTTGATATGTTTATGTAGTGTTTGAAAAAAAGACAAAAAATAAAGTTACTTCACCGTGATGCCCCTTTAATTCATGTCAAATTTGAGAAAGGTTCTACAAAACTTTCTGAGAAATAGCGATTACAATCATTCATTGTCAAATGATGGTCATTGGTTAGCCATTTTGTTTTTCCGATCAGTCTCAAAAGTAGGCATGCACAACTACAGATAAAGGGGAACTTATATAATGAATTAAAAAAAATATCCTTCAAGAACTTTCTTAGAAATAGCGATAACAAACATTCACCGGCAAAATCCAAGATTTGGCCAATTTGTTTTATCCGATCTGTCTCAAAAGTAAACATGCACAACTACACACTAAGGATTAAACCAACACACAAAATTTTAGAAAGATCCTTCCAGAATGTCCTGAGAAATAGCGATAACAAACATTCACAGTCAAAATCCAAGATGGCGGCCTGTTGACCATTTTTATTATCGGATCAGTCAAAAAAGGAAACATGCACCAACTACAGACCAAGGGGAACCTTCATATAAATTTTGAGAAAGATCCCTCCAGTACTTTCTCTGAAATAGCGATAACAAGAATTGTTTAAGGACGGACAGACCACGGACGAAGGGCGATTTGAATTCTGATAAGCTCAAAAGTTGATGCCAGACAGACTGGTGACTATTCTGTTAAACATACACCAAACTTTGGCTTAAGCTTACTTGGCCCTTCTGTGTAGAGTGTTATTTGTTATGGCATAAAAAGCTTACCCTTGTAAAAGATGTGGATTAATTAGGTTGCCTTAAAAGCTTCAGCTGTAGGGAATTTCCCTTGAGCTTAGCGGTAGAGCATCGGGCTGGAGAGCCAAGGGTCGCAGGTTTGAGCCCCAGCGACAGCACTATCTTTATCACTATTCCTCGTCCTATAACAGATTGATGCCGTTGACCCTCCCCGTTCAAGGTAGGATAAACCCTGGGCGGGGAGTCAAAGAACCTGGGTTGGTGTTCGAAAAAAAGGGTGATAGGTGTAAAAGATGTGCATTGATTAGGTTGCCTCACCAGCTTCAGCTGTAGGGAATTTCCCTTTAGCTCAGCGGTAAAGCACCGGGCTGGAGAGCCAAGGGTCGTGGATTCGAGACCCAGCTACGGCACTATCTTTATCACTATTCCTCATCCTACTACAACCCTTTAAACTATGCTACAATAAAAATGAATATATTTTAATCATAAAATCTAGATATTTTTAAGGCTCTCAATTATTTGCGGATTTAGTTTGTAGAATATTTGTCACTGATGCATTTCTCTTTAAAGTGTATCAAAAGCAGCCTCCCCGCTAGAAAAAAAGGTTTTTGATCAAAGAATATTCAACTGTTACCAATTTCACTGTGAGAAATGGTAGTTAGGTTGTATAGACATGATTTTATATCTTTTTAAATACTTATTCAGAAAAACACATTTCATAATTTTCCTTCATACGGGTACCTATAAATGCTTTTCCCTGCTCTTTTGTGCAGAAATGAACAAGAGGCCCAGAGGGCCTGTATCGCTCACCTGAATATTTAAGCAGCCATAGCAAATATTATACTGTACTACAAATTTGTTACTCGTAAACTTTGACGACTCCATCTGTTGAAACTACCAGTGAAATATTATAAGAATTTATGCTTTTTGGCCATCGTTCTTCAAATATTATAATTTTATGCCTTTCAATTTTTCAGAAAAAGGTCAGTCATTTTCATTCTCAATCTTTGTCAGGCTCTATCTCACGAAGCCACAAGGCTAATATGAAGGTTCTACACATTTTAGTTCTTCAGAAGTCGTATAAAGAGTTTGGCATATTTGACCACTGTGACCTTGAAAGGAGGTCAAAGTTATTTTCATTCGCAAACTTTGTCCGGCTCTATCCCAGGAAGCCACCAGCCAAATATGAAGGTTATATACCTTTTAGTTCTTCAGAAGAAGTCGTTTGAAGCGTTTGACATATTTGACCCGTATGACCTTGAAAGCAGGTCAAGGTCATTTTCATTCGCAAACTTTGTCGGGCTCTATCCCAGGATTCCACAAGCCAAATATTAAGATTCTATACCTGTTGGTTCTTCAGAAGAAGTCGTTTAAAAGAGTTTTACATATTTGACCCATGTGACCTTGAAAGCCAATCATGGTCATTTTCATTCGTAAACTTTGATGGGCTCTATCCCAAGAAGCCACTAGCCAAATACAAAGATTCTATACCGTTTGGTTCTTCAGAAGTCATTTAAAGAGATTGACATATTTGACCCCTGTGACCTTAAAAGCAGGTCAAGGTCATTTTAGTTATTCAGAAGTCATATAAAGAGTTTGGCATATTTGACCACTGTGACCTTGACAGCAGGTCAAGGTCATTTTCATTCGCGAACTTTGTCGGGCTCTATCCCAGGAATCCACAAGCCAAATATAAAGATTCTATACCTGTTGGTTCTTCAGAAGAAGTCGTTTAAAGAGTTTTACATATCTGACCCCTGTGACCTTGAAAGCCAATCAAGGTCGTTTTCATTCGCAAACTTTGTTGGGCTCTATCCCAGGAAGCCACTAGCCAAATACAAAGATTCTATACCGTTTGGTTCTTCAGAAGAAGTCGTTTAAAGAGGAAGCCACCAGCTAAATGTAAAGATTCTATACCTTTTAGTTGTTCAGGAGAAGTCGTTTAAAAAATTTGACATATTTGACCCCTGTGACCTTGAAAGTAGGTCAAGGTCATTTTCATTCGCAAACTTTGTCGGGCTCTATCCCAGGAATCCACAAGCCAAATATAAAGATTCTATACCTGTTGGTTCTTCAGAAGAAGTCGTTTAAAGAGTTTTACATATCTGACCCCTGTGACCTTGAAAGCCAATCAAGGTCGTTTTCATTCGCAAACTTTGTTGGGCTCTATCCCAGGAAGCCACTAGCCAAATACAAAGATTCTATACCGTTTGGTTCTTCAGAAGAAGTCGTTTAAAGAGGAAGCCACCAGCTAAATGTAAAGATTCTATACCTTTTAGTTGTTCAGGAGAAGTCGTTTAAAAAATTTGACATATTTGACCCCTGTGACCTTGAAAGTAGGTCAAGGTCATTTTCATTCGCAAACTTTGTCGGGCTCTATCCCAGGAATCCACAAGCCAAATATAAAGATTCTATACCTGTTGGTTCTTCAGAAGAAGTCGTTTAAAGAGTTTTACATATCTGACCCCTGTGACCTTGAAAGCCAATCAAGGTCGTTTTCATTCGCAAACTTTGTTGGGCTCTATCCCAGGAAGCCACTAGCCAAATACAAAGATTCTATACCGTTTGGTTCTTCAGAAGAAGTCGTTTAAAGAGGAAGCCACCAGCTAAATGTAAAGATTCTATACCTTTTAGTTGTTCAGGAGAAGTCGTTTAAAAAATTTGACATATTTGACCCCTGTGACCTTGAAAGTAGGTCAAGGTCATTTTCATTTGCAAACTTTGTTAAGCTCCTACCAAGGAAGCTTTCAGTCAAATATCATGACTCTAGGCCTGTCCGTTCTTCAGAAGAATTTGTTTAAAGGAAAAGTTGACGGACGCCGCACCATGACATAAGCCCACTTGCCCTTTGGGCAGGTGAGCTAAAAATAGGTAAACAATTTTTTCGTTCAGGACAATTAAATCCTCTTCTACATTTAACAGAAATCATTGATATTTAAAAGCTCATTCTGATTACAAAATATAGGTAATAGTTAACAACAGAGTGGAAACTAGTTATTCTTCTGAAAAGCTATATTTTCAATATCAATTAGATTTAATGTTATTTATTTCCTATTTGTAAATTCACCTTACCCAAGTACTCTGTTTTATGATAAGCATACATAAGAGGTGACTGCACACCCTTGGGCGGCGATTTAGGCTTGTGGGAATATGCATAATGTCTTCCAGACTCAACTGTCACAGTACACAGGTGTCTCAGGGTGTCTTCACTCACAACCTACAACAAACAACAGATGGAAAATAAATAAATTTACCAGCTAGGTCATCTATTTCATTTGTTGGTGTTAGATTACTAGGTCATAGCCACAAAATCCATCAGAAATTGTGTTATATTTATAAATTTCCTTATTTATTCATCATGTTTCAACCAGGTATTTGGAGACTGTGAGGAATATAATATCAATCCCTGTAATAAACATGAAGCGTTTCTTTCCATTACAGTTAAGTAATGTCTTTTAATCTATTCTAATACTGATAACTGAGCTTGTTATATATTTTTCTGGACATTTATTTTTCTGTTTTTTTTTTTAGTAAATGGTATCAATTCAGTGATTTTTTTAAAGATGAATTAGGGGCCTTATGAAAGCCCCATTTCAATAGGTAATTTCTGCATTATTATCCCAAAAATCAATGCAATGATCACTAATTTTCACCACATCATGCTTTTTGTGCGATTTGTTTACATCATTTTTCGGCGTGTCTAAATACCCAATACTACCCCATACTGTACCCAATAGAGACATACTACTTTGATACCATGAAATATCAACTAAAACATAGTAATTAGACACACCATTATTTTTTAAAAAGAATACTTATATTTAATGTCTGTTGTTATCAATCTAATGATACAATCTTTTAAAAGCGACTTTATTTCGTTTTCCTTAAAAAAGAAAATCACTTGAAAATAGCTCAAAATACCTTTTTCAGATAGGTCAATAGAGCTATTATAGGTCTTTACAGCCAGAGCTCAATCAGCAGAGTGTACTGGACCTGATATTAAAAGTAAGAGCATAAAACCAAACATGGGCTTCCTACTTACACCGTTAAAGTGGTTGTCAGCTTATAGGATCTTCATGATAGCCATTTCCTTACATATTACAAACCTTGTAGCCAAGTTTCTGTTGCAATGCCAATGCACCACTCATATAACCAGCTCGGCCTACAAGTATCTCGTCTGATCCATAGGGATAGAATGATATTGGTCTTGCATGATCTGCCAAACTTGCAAACTTTTCAGCTATTTTTTTCGATTTGGAATCATTGCCAGCAGTATGGAACAATAAGCTGTTCACTGCGATAGTTCCAGCCTGTCCTAGTATGAAAGAACAAGGAGGATTACCTCGATCTCCACCTCTTTCGACATAGTCCATGGCAACTTTTCCATACATCATGCCCTGTTCAAGAAAATCTGTCTTGCGCTGTGTGAACAAGTCACAATTTGAGAGATAATAATACATGTATGCAATTCCAGCATTACCAACGTATAGTCCACCATCACAATTGGCGGGGTCTGGAGGCATGCCATTTACAATATTTTTCACTATTTGCTCAATACATCCTATCCATTTTTCTTGATCGATGAAAACCTCCGAACCTTCCGTAAAATCCTGATATTTATTTTTGAAATTCCGCATCCTCGTTTTTGTTTATATATGGTTGTATTTGAGTAGTGTTATAAAGTGTGCAGTGTCTTCCGTTCTGACTTGACACTTGCTATTTATGACACAAAAGTCGAAAGCACATTCAACGAACGATTGACCGGAAGTTTGCTTATAATCACATCACAGTCACTAAAACGTTAGTTCAAAAATAATAGATTTTAAAAAACTGCTCTTCTCTATCATTTCAGACGCTGAAATAAAATAAAACTTTCAAATGTGTCTGACTCACCTTCTTCAGTGATTTGGAACGAGTTATATTCCATGGAGACCATAAATGAAATTTACAAAATTAAAACAAGCATCAATGTGATCTTACACCGGAAGTGGTTATAATAAAGGGGGATTGTGAGTTGTCCTTCTTTGTTCAGAAGTTGCAGAAGCTGAGCGAGGCATGCTTTGAAGATTCTCCACATTTCTTTCTTGAAATTATGGCTTCTTTTGTGTTAAGGGTTCTTTCATTGACTTTGGGGATATTTTTCATTTTTATAGGAACGTTGAAATTGTCACCGTCTATCAATGATGAGCTGTACAGGCAAATGGTAAATTAAGAAAAGTTGAATAGCAAATTATGAATTTATTAGTCACCCAATATTATTGTTACTCTGTATTAAGAAGAAAGATATCGCGAACAGTAATGTGCTTACCATAGCTATTCGGGACACGCACTAATATAATTTCGTGTCGGGAACCTTTAATTTTTCAATAGATTAATATGACGTTTGGTATTGCTTCCAATCAAGCAACAATACACCCCTCTACAGTATAAATACAATCAATACTGCAGCCAGTTCTATAGGAGGATTTCGCATGAGCTGCCTTATCAGTCACTAACTACTTGTCATATGCCACCTAGCTAACGTTCCAAATGTGGGAATGCCTATGTCAGTATGTGTTAGAGGCACATTGTGCTTAGTCCACAATAACAATCTCCTTTTAAAAAGTGTTGTTGGAAACAGTAATTTTAGACTAATTTGTGTTCAGTTTTGACATTGGGTCTTTCCAAGGTAGTCATCGTTTTCCATAGTGCAAAATTATTTGAACTCCAAATCTGCCTTAAATATACAATTTTATAAAAGAGAACCTTTTATTAACTTGTTACAGAGGAGGTCGTTTATTAAGAGTGCCAACGTATTCCCACTTTGGAAACTTACAGGATGGAGACCAAGCCCACACATGTACAGGAAGATGTTTGGCGGAACAGAAATTATTTGTGGAGTGATACTGGTAGCCATACCTGGTAATATATATGTATACCTTATTGGGTTAACTAGATTGGTTTTCTTATTTTTGTAGGCAGTATAAAGGGTTTTAGTTTAACCACTTAATACATTTAAGACATTTCTGGGGATCAATTTGTTAGACTTGTTTAATTGTTTAATCAAAATGTGTGATATGTTCCAAATATTTGATCAACTTTCCAAAATATTTTGATCAGTACTAGTGGTGAAACACTGACAGAGTTATTCTTTTTTTTTCTTCTGTGTATTTTTTTTATACTTCAGTTTTTTAAATATTTTGTATCGTATGTTTTAGGTCCATTAAAAGATGTGGTGAATGTTGTGATGTTGCTGATGATGCTGTTGGATGTATACACACACTGGGCATTAGATGAGGGTCTTGACAAAATGAGTCTGTCCATTGTGTTCCTGTTACTGCTCACGTGTCGTCTAATTGTCTACCTTCAGGTCAAGTTACGCAATATGGAAGAGGCCAAAGATGAGAAAAAGAATAAAATGGAAGAAACTGCTGCAAAGACAGCAACCCAAGTAAAGAAGGACCAGTAAATTATAACAATTATAACATTTACTGGAGATGTAAACAAAATCATGTTTAAATATCATCTCAAAATGTAAATTTATAACACAATTTCTTTGGTATAAATACAATAGAAATTTAATTGTCTTTTGGTATAATCTAAACATGCAGAATCTTAACTGAATCATGTTCAAATATAATCATCTCAAAAACTGTTTTTAAAAAACAAATATAACAGTTTCTTTCGACAATTTCAATGTCTTTTGTATAATCTTAACATGAATACTCATCCTTTTTATTACAATCGGAAGATATTTCAGAAACAAATACTAGAGAGATTCATTGTAAGTTTAAGGTTTTGAAGTGGATGATAGGAATGCATGTTCATACGTTGATATTGGCTTTTTACACCAAACAGCAGCATAAGTGTCCTAAGATGGTTGAATATATTGTTTTCTGGTACATTGTAAACTTTGTCAAAATGATGTTTTCAACCATCTTAGGCCACTCAACATGTTACCCCTTTCCAATTTGTAAAGGGGTGACATGTTGGGTGGCTTAAGATGGTTGAAAACATTGTTTCCTGGTACATTGTTAAGGGATAACATGTTGGGTGAAAATGTTATTGAAATACTAGTTTTCTTTGTTTTACAGAGTTCTGTGATTTTTTTTAACATTCATGATATTCGGCCTGTCAAACCTATATATATACATGTATATGTAAAACTTGAATGTTTTAGTAGAATTAACACATACTGGTACCTCTGTTCATTGTGATTGTGAAGGATTCATTTTGATGAGTTATTACATGTATTAAAAAAATCTGTTAAGTCTAATAATGAATGCATGCCATGACAATAAGACCATATATTAACACCTATAATTCAGTGAAATATGATCATTAAAACATATGTAAGGACAGAATGTAGACCTCTCATTGTCTGATCAGAATCTTCAGTAATTGTCATGTTGTTTAGGAAACCAAGTACTAACACAAGTATTAGTGGTGTGAGAATCATTTTCTGGAGGTATTTGAGAGTATGGAGTTAAAGGCTAACAACAATTAATCCTTTTTCAGGTTTTTTGCACCTGTTGAGTGTATTTACAATGTTAATGGATCCTTCTTAAGATCTTGAAATCCCTCTTATGGATGATGGTCATCAATGAGTTTATATAGCATCAAAAATATCATGAATATTGGCATGCACTTATGGATTTAAAACATGCAACTCAAATTCTGTAAAAACGATGATCAATTCCTTAGTGATTTGAAATAAGAACCTAAAATTGGTTGTTTTTGTCTAGCTCAAACTTAGATGTTGCTTTTCCGTCTGCGGCAGTCCACATTGAGTTTTTGAGAAAGGAAATGAAGTTTATATTTAAGGTAAATCTTAACCATGTTAGAGGTTGGATATTACTTATGCTAAACTCTATTTATTTACTTTAGTATACAATTTATGGCCAATTTTTCAGCTTCACTATTTAAGGGTTTTCTTTAGAAAAACGGCTCCTATTGTCAAAAGGAATAGATTGTATACAGATGTATTATGAAGAATAATGTTTTTCATCTTCACCAGGTGCAATTTTCATGTATATCATAATTCTATGTCTTCATTAATATCTCTAGACAGTTTAATAAACAATACTAACAAATATTCAAAATCTAGTACTTTCTGTCAGAAATCATTAATAAAAAAATGTTTATTTCAAAATAGTCATAGAAGGAAAAAATGCACAGCAATCCCCAATTTTCTTTTTAATATAAGTTTAAGATACATGATGGACACAAAATCAGTCTAGTTAGATTAAAAGCTTAGATGTTTGTGCATAATGATCTATCATTCTTAAGAACAAATATTTTTCTTACCTTTTTTTAAATAACTTTTTACTAAAATCATTGGAGTGAAATGTTATTCTTTTTCGGGCTGCAGTATAAATGTGTGTGAATTCTTAAATAGGTTATACAGAAATTGAAATTCAGACTAAACCTGAATGTTTGGTAAGATTTTATTTGTTTCAAAATAAATTTGATAGTTTTCTTAATAATTCAGATGTAGAACTTTTCTTGTAAATTAAATGGTTTTAACAGCAAGAGTAAGTTTTGATAGAGTGTGATTCACGAAGCTATCTTTTGTACCATCAGTTACCATACATAACCATGATCTCTTACCCCGTAATTCCTAATACCATACTTGTTATTTGATGCCCATTGTTTTTGTTAGTATGACAATATTCATTCCTCAGCACAAGTCTATACTTGAGTTTATACTTTATTGTATATATTTTTCAAGCCTTTTTTCCTTCTTTTTTTTTAAGAAATAGTTTTGCAGCAAGTTATTTCTGGTGATATCTCCATGTACAGGAGTATCTGAGTGTCTGAGTATCTATTCCTTGTCTTGTATTTCAAACCATTTGACTAGTTGGGCAAGATTTTATCACTAACCAAATAGGGACGAACCTAGTGTCTGATGTAGTCTTCTGATGGGTTTTGCATAAGTTCTTCAACGTATTATTAGTTACACAGTTTGTTAGTGACCTAATACGGAAAAATATTGGGTCTAAAAGAAACTTCTATCGGGCGAGGCGAACAAGTTTCTTTTAGACCCAATCTTTTTCCGTATTAGGTCACTAACAAACTGTGTAACAAATTTATCCCGTCGAAGGCCCTTTGGATAAAAAAAACTGCAAAATAATACAAAATTCAACATTTATTCCAACAATAACAATTTTAGCATATAAAATTTAGTACATAATTTGTTAACAACAACAAAAGTTTAACAAAGATAATTCGGTATTTCACAAATATTTTCAGTGAACTTTCATGTCCTTTGTTAACATTCATCGGCTGTCGTCTGCACAAACCGCTTGGTCGCCATCTTGTTACAAGTTGACTATTATGGGCAAAGAACGATAACTCTTTCGTACTCACCTAATGTGAGATTCTACTGACCTAATATGAAAATATACTGGATATCATGTGACATCGTTTTAACCAATAGGACTACAGGATTTTTGCCTGAGGCGGGATAAGTAGTCATATGTGGTAGCTTTTGTTGTTACTCTTGAAAATGTTGCTTTTTTTAGTATTGTACTTTTTATTTAAGAGGCAGATTTCCATCGTGATATGTACATTTCATTGAACAATTTGACATTTTGGATAATAAAGTCAACCCTAATTAGTTTATTGCAAGTGACCAGTAGTTTAGTTGATAAATAAGAGTATCACTGAAGAGGTTTAGACTGGAAAGAAATTTAACCAAATGAGAAACAAGGATCCCTTAGCCAAAGTTACTTAGTGTTGTATAAACAAAGAGTGTGTCCCTCCTTGAGACAGAGGAGTTGGGTCCATCAGGTGAAATGGGGCACATCTTCAAAAACTTTTTTTACTTTAGAACAAGTGTAGACCGGGTCTATCACCTAATTTGGTACAAAGAGTTTCTTGGCCAAGGGGTACTGAATGTTGTATAAATGAAGGCATTACCCGCCACACCCCTGCAGCCAGACCTTTCATTACAGACCGGCAACCAGTACCTGACAACTACCCCATGTAGGCTTCAAACCCACGACCCAGTGGTAGAGGGCTGGTGATTGTAGATGGACAGATACCTCAACCACTGTAGAATAAGTACATATATATAATTTTGGCCAACATAGGATTTGAGGCCTAATATATGAAAAAGAAAAAATATTACTATCATTGTCAAAAATAAATCTGTTGTAAGCTGGTTTATATTTGGCTCTTTTAGTATGTATGTTTCATGTTAAACATGACAGAAGCAAAAACCAGGTGGGCCAACCAGGCCCTGGGCCTCTTGTTTCACTCCTGTCGCACATTTAAAGGAGGGCCAACCAGGCCCTGGGCCTCTAGTTTCATTCCTGTCACACATTTAAAGGAGGGCCAACCAGGCCCTGGGCCTCTTGTTTCACTCCTGTCGCACATTTAAAGGAGGGCCAACAAGGCCCTGGGCCTCTTGTTTCACTCCTGTCACACATTTAAAGGACGGCCAACCTGGCCCTGGGCCTCTTGTTTCACTCCTGTCACATTAAAAGGACGGCCAACCAGGCCATTGGGCCACTTGTTTCACTCCTGTCACACATTTAAAGGAGGGCCAACCAGCCCTTGAGCCTCTTGTTTCACTCCTGTCACACATTTAAAAGGAGGGCCAACCAGGCCCTTGGGCATCTTGTTTCACTCCTGTCACACATTTAAAGGAGGACCAACCAGGCCCTGGGCCTCTGTTTCACTCCTGTCACACAGTTAAAGGAGGGCCAACCAGGCCCTTGAGCTTCTTGTTTCACTCCTGTCATACATTTAAAGGAGGGCCAACCAGGCCCTGGGCCACTTGTTTCACTCCTGTCGCACATTTAAAGGAGGGCCAACCAGGCCCTTGGGCATCTTGTTTCTTTCCTGTCACACATTTAAAGGAGGACCAACCAGGCCGTTGGGCCTCTGTTTCACTCCTGTCACACATTTAAAGGAGGGCCAACCAGGCCCTTGAGCTTCTTATTTCATTCCTGTCACACATTTAAAGGAGGGCCAACCAGGCCCTGGGCCTCTTGTTTCACTCCTGTCACACATTTAAAGGAGGGCCAACCAGGCCCTTGGGCCTCTTGTTTCTTTCCTGTCACACATTTAAAGGAGGACCAACCAGGCCCTTGGGCCACTTGTTTCATTCCTGTCACACATTTAAAGGAGGGCCAACCAGGCCCTTGAGCCTCTTGATTCACTCCTGTCACTCGTTTAAAGGAGGTCCAACCAGGCCCTTGGGCTTCTTGTTTCGCTCCTGTCACACATTTAAAGGAGGGCCAACCAGGCTTTTGAGCTTCTTGATTCACTCCTGTCACACATTTAAAGGAGGCACAATGGTTGTTCCTGAATTTTTTCTCCTACATATCTCAGAATTTACTGTTGACTGCTATGGGAAAAATGCATTTCAAATACTTTTTAAGGACTCCACATTGGACTTGTCACAAGTAATATACAGTAAATGTAATACATTTTATAGATAGTTTTTTTATAGCAGTTTGTAATGCTTTATATTTTATTTGGTTAAATGCATGTTTTTGTTAGTTTAATCAAGTAGGATCAAATGTAATATTTGTTGTGAATGTTTTTACATGTATCCATGTTTGAAATAGCAACTTGGTTTGCAATATATACCTACTCACTGCAATAACAGAAACAAAAGGTGTAGGATATGATTGGAAACATTTTATATACATACACATGTATACCATGCATTTAATATTTGAAGTTATACTGACAGTAATAATAATTACATTGAAGAATCAAAAATTCTTTTCAAAGTAAACTTTATGTAAAGTAACCTTTTAGTTAACCTTTACATTGACATTATTTTGGAACATTTTGACATCTCTTTTAATGTTGTATGATTAATACAGTAGGTTACGTCAAAACAAAAATTACTGACGAAACCTGTCAAGTTCTATTAAGTTGCTTCAAAATATTTTGACAACCTGATACATCAGATATCAGTTTGTAAGAATCTCATTGTTGAAATTGATATTGGCAAAAGGAAATGTGTAAAAATTAAAATACATAAACCATTGTTTGTGTATCTACTGTAGGTGTTACTGTTATGTAAGCAGGCATTCTTCCTCACCTCATAAAATGTCTCCTGCAAACAATGTTACTTCATATAATAAAAGCTGTATGTATAGATTATAGAAATGTTGGTTTTTTTTGTACTTATTTAAATGCAAAATATCATTACAATGTATTTCAATTAATCCTATTTTGTTTGTGATGATTTATAATATTTCCATCCAGACTATCCCCCAGGACAAGGATATTCCAAGTTGACGAAAAAAGTTAGCAGTCTTTCACTGTGGCATGTGTCTGAATTATACGCATATCTCACAGTTGTGAAATTTTGTATGCGAGTTCTGTGCATTGGTAGCTAGAGTGAGGCATACCAAAATTGTGTCTATATAGAGATGTGCCGAATATCTTCTATGCATCAGTTTATCTGCGAAATATTTCATATACATGTTGACAAATTTAGTATGAAAAAACTACAGAGTTATGGTACTTTTAAAAAAGAAAGAAAAAAAATATTTGGGGACTGTGGATTGCTAACAATAATCTGTAGTTTTATGCCTTGCCGTGAAGTGGTGCAGGGCACCAAGTGTTACCCTTGTCGGTATGTATATATGTCTGACCTGCTAAGTTTTGGTGTTTGGATAAACACTGCAGTTGATATCCCCACACTATGTATATATACAATTACTGGTAAGAAAAAAAGAGATAAAGAAATTTATCCTAGTGAATAACAAAGGTAATAACGAAGAAACGGTTTGATTGCCATCCCAATATGTGCTATCATGTTACAGGAACATGCAGTTCCAGGTTTTTTTGGAGAATTTGTTCTAATGGGAATATTTATCATAATGGCTCTTATGCTGTGGCAAGGCATCTGGTGTCCTGTGTCTGTCCATCAACTTATTCTTTCACTAGACCAAAATTGTAAAGGGGGTTTAGCTTATTAAAATATGGCCTGGAGCACTGTTAGACCAAGATGACCTTTTGCTATTCGTCTTCGTCCGTTGTTGTGTGTTGTCTGTAAACATTTTACATTTTCAACTTAAGCTGAAATACTGTGAAGGGATTTCATTTATATTTCCTGAGATTGTTACTGACATCTCCCTGACCATGCGATGTTATTTTTCGGTTCGCTCAGAACTCTAATATGCCCGCCAATGCCGCCGTTTTGAAAAAACCAATTCTAATGAAGGTAAATCTTCAAAATTTGTCTCCTGTAGGGATAACAGGCTTTGTCCAAATTCAATTGGGAGAATCTTTCAGCCAAGGATTTTCAATATTTTAAGAAATAAGAGGTGGGGCATAGTAGGGGAATTAAAGGTAAAACTTCAAAAATCTTTTCCTTTCAAAGGATAAAGGGTTGAATATCAAATGAACTGTGATAAGGATGTGAGGATAAAGGAATTTTGTCTAAAATTTGCTCTGGGGGCAAGGGAATTACATAATAATAATAATAATATTAATAGTCTTTATTTATACTCGATAATAACATGTTGAGTCACAGACTCTCTCTCACACATGGCCGAGAACATATAAAAGTATGTACAACATGGATAATACGTTACAAATATAAGAGATAATGCAAAACACATACATTATAAAGATATATTGTATACATATATAAGCTATACTGCTTTTCAATTGAGTAATGAATTATATAACTACATTTCATTACAACCATACTGTTATAGTAACACGCGCTGCTGAAACATAATTACATATCGTAGTATATTGCGTATTGGGAAAGTCGTAATGTCCAGATCAGGCCGAAAGAGAGTGGGTTTTTCTTTGCTTTATACTAGTAGTTTAAAATCGTTTCTGCAAGTGATTTGAAGGATTTGGTTTGAGTGGATAGGCTGTTCCAAAGATCTGGTCCTTGATATAAAAATGACCGCTTGAAAAGTTGCGGTGCGGGTGTTTCTGTTGTGACTTTCCTGGACTAAAGTGTGTGTTTTGAGATATGTAGGGGTAAAATCATTGATAACCTTGTACATTAATATACATTCATTATATGCCACTCTTTTGGGAAGAGGCAACCAATTTAACTTTTTAAATAAATGTTCAGATGGTGAAGAAAAATCTGCATCAAGAATGGATCTGGCAATTCTCTTTTGAATTCGTTCGAGTTTATGAATACTTTTGGTTGTACAGTATATTAGAGCAGAAATCAAAGTATGGAAGCATAAAACAGTTATAGTATGTATTTCTGGACGTTATGGGTAACAAAACATTTGAATTCTGTTAAGATGGTGTAGTTTAAAAACAACTTTCTTAATAAGTTCTCGAACTTGCATATCCCACGACAGATGTTCATCAATGCAGATCACTCCAAGAAGCTTTTCTGATTTTACATTTTCAAGAGTGGTATCATTAAAAATAACGTTAAATTTGTTAGCACATGCTTTCCTTTTCTGTCTTGTACAAATTAACATAGCTTTTTTTTCCCACATTTAAAACCATTTTATTTTCATCTGTAAATGAATGGTGTCCTCTCCTCTTCCAGGGGGTGCAGGGACAGAGACCCATATGATTCAGTCCCTCAAATCCTCCAAACTCTAGACAGAAGCTCTACCAATCGACCATCACGTTCCACTCCACAGGTTAACCTTCTCCTTGGTCTGTACGTAGTAGCCAACCTGTAGTAAGAGGGATGCCAATGGGATCTAAAATCTGATTTAGGGGGTTATTTTTGGCTCAAATTCCTTTTGATTCTTTAAGATAGTTGTCATGATATTTGATTTGAAATAACAATAGAGCTAATGATCATACTTTTTTTCTTTATAGAAATTGATGTAACTCCAAAGGTTGGATTATTCCATCAGAGAAATTTGGTTATTCTGCTATTCTTATTAAGATATGTCCAGATCACCACTATGTTATAACCAGAGTTCATATATTTTGCTGAAACATCAAATTTATATAATGTCACTAAAATATGTATAGTATGTTCTTTTTTTTATTTCATTTATACTTATTTTATTTACGAATAATTCTCCTTGATATTTTTCAGAATACAAAAAAATAAGAAGGCCCCCAAATAACAAAATATTAGATATCCAAGAACCGTAACTCTAATAAAATCGCGCGTGTAATACTGAAAGATGACTCGCGTCTATTTCTAGCTTTTCACTGCGCAAGTCCGTATCGTTGTCCGCCATGTTGTTGAAATTAGCAACCAGCTTGTTCTGTAATAATATTTATTGATATGGGATTAAAATCTCATTAAATTTCGGTTATGTCGACACCCTGACGACAATTATGGACGAGAAAGAAGCAGACGAAATTTTGCTGGATAACACCTTGGACGGTAAGCTATGACATGTATTTGGCCGAAAAATAAAGATGATACGAGGTGAACAAGTTGCTGTACCTGTACATGGAAACCAATAATCCTTAATAACATCTTCAAGTTTTGAAAAAGTACTGACTAATTTTGATTTATAACCCTGAAGGACCTGATCGGAAATAGAAGAAGAGAGCTATGAAATGCTATTATGCATGCTTTAATAGTGTAATGTTTTATGTTTTAACAAGATTAAAATAAAAGCAGCAAAGAAAAGAATGAGGTCTATATTTGGAAAGTTATGAGAGGATAAATAATAGTTACAAGATCATGCAATTTCTTGTAGTTATAAGTTAGTTATGAGATAGGTCAGATAGCCTTATTAGCTTCTGTCAATTCCTGATTTGAATGCAAACCATGCATTTCCTCAGATCTAACGCTGTTACTACCAGATCAGGAACATCGTCTGTATTCGGCAGTTTATAAGTGCAGATGCATGCAAGATTTTGGTGCATTCACTTGTTACCTCTTGGTTGGATTATGGTAATGCCCTGCTCTGTGGTATATCTGACAAACTAACTAGTCGTCTGCAGAGGGTCCATAACACTGCAGCATGGCTCGTACTCGTACTCGAAAGAGAGAACACATCACACCTGAGCTTTATTTGTTGAACTGGTAACCTGTACGATACAGGTCGCAGTACACAATTCTGGTATACACATACAAGGCACTGAATGGAAAAGCTCCTCAGTACGTACAGGAGCAGCTTGTTACCCTGTATCAGCCGTCAAGATCACTGCGGTCGGAGTCAGAATTTTTGTTGTGTGTCCCAAAATATTGTACCTATATTGGTACTTCAGACAGATTAGTTTAGTCTTGGATGTTAATGCAAGTAAAATCTTCATTGTTTCACAGAATGAAGAAAGCTTTTTGATAAATTATTGATTATATGAATCAACAATTTTTCGTTCCAGATGGTCCTTACAGCAAGGATCTTCGTTTGGCAGCATTACCAAAGGAAGCAAGACAGGTATGTCTCCAGTGACTGGGATAAGTTCAATTCTTCCTTTTTTTCATACCAGTTTTTCTAGATAAATGTCATATGCATATTAATTTAACATAAAAACATTTTTAAGTAAACACTGACAAATAGGGTATCAATTCCTGTTTGTATTCTCAGGACAAGAAAAAGCCCAGGTCTTATGGCATATATGTGGCAAATGGATTTTGCAAGTGAAAATCTGTGTATACTTGCCCCAATAACCAATGCAAAATGATTATTTCTACCCTACCGGGTATGTTAAGGACATGCGTTTCATAACTTATCAAATATACACAATTGACAGGAAAAATTGCTTTGTTAAAAAGATGCTAATATTTCAAGGCTAATAATGAACTGTAACAGGTTTATGATAAGTTTGTGATCATATCAATACTAACTTTGGATGAGGAGAGTTTGAAAGGTGAGTGTTTTAAGTGTTTGTTATATATTTATATGTTGGTGGTAATTTGGATGACTTGTTCCCTACAGTCCCTCATTAGGTATGACGGTGATAGTGACGATGCTAAAGGAGCAGCTGCCATAGAAATACAGAGATGCTGGAGGGGCTATCGAGGAAGGTATACTTCAAAAATCACGATTTATAAAGTTCATTGTTAAAATAGCAAGTTTGTTATATACGATTAAACTGTTATGTTCTTAATGTAGTGAGAGAGAAAAAAAAATATTAGAAAAGGAATATTTTTATGTCCCCGACTATTTAATTGAGATTATGAATAAAAAGTATATCATCTTGTGATGTAAAGTTCCCTTATAGGGGGACCTGGTATCAGAAAAGTAGGTTGATTTCAGCATCCTTAATACATTGTAATGATAATAAAAGCTGTAGCTGACTCTATTAAAAATTCTTATTAAACAGTTTTGACTGTAGCAAGATTGGAAGGAAAACAACAACATTATCAATGGTTAAAACTATTGCTAGAGCAATAGTATTAAACACTGATGACTGACAACAGTACACAACAGCCAGTCAGATTTACAGGCTCATGATGTAGCTCATTAGATAGCATTTGTTTTGAACTGATATCTGAAAACAAAATTGTACTGGTGGATGGCTGGTAGTAATTGTACTGGTGGATGGCTGGTGGTAATTGTACTGGTAAATGACTGGTAGTAATTGTACTGGTAGATGACTGATGGTAATTGTACTGGTGGATGGCTGATGGTAATTGTACTGGTAGATGACTGGTGGTAATTGTACTGGTAGATGACTGGTGGTAATTGTACTGATGGATGGCTGGTGGTAATTGTACTGGTAAATGGTCGGTGGTAATTGTACTGGTAGATGACTGGTGATAATTGTACTGATGGATGGCTGGTGGTAATTGTACTGATGGATGGCTGGTGGTAATTGTACTGGTAGATGACTGGTGGTAATTGTACTGATGGGTGGCTGGTGGTAATTGTACTGGTGGATGGCTGGTAGTAATTGTACTGGTGGATGGCTGGTGGAAATTGTACTGGTGGATGGCTGGTGGTAATTGTACTGGTGGATGACTGGTAGTAATTGCACTGGTAAATGACTGGTAGTAATTGTACTGGTAAATGGTTGGTAGTAATTGTATCTCTGATCTTTTCCTTAGCAATGTCTCACAGTAGGACCCATATTGCTTAATAAAATTTAAATGGATTCTGAGCACAGTATTTTCTCAAATGAGTGTTCCCTTTATCTTGAATTCAATATAACCTTTCAAATTTGTTGAATCTGAACAATAATTATATATTTGGAATTGTACATTGGATATGGTTTGTTTATGGTGAGAAGGGGGTAGGTGATATGTTTACAATGTAACCCCCTAAGACTTTGTTATCTACCTACAGATGTAACCTATATCGGACAGTAAACCCCAAGGTCAGTAAGACGGCTGTGTACAGTGGCAGTATGCACCACACTACAAGGGAAGAGGAGGAATTCGTGGAAGGGGAGGTAAGTCAGCATACTGGAGATAATATGACATATTGATCTTTTTCATGCTTTTTTTGAAGTGATAGTAGTGTTGGGTTCTTTTTGATAAGACTACAAAATAAAAAAAATATTGTAAGTGTGAAGTTAAAAACCTCTCAAAGTATCATTCCAAGTTCAAACATCAGACATGATAACCAAGGCTTTTCACCAACTTCTAATTGAACAGACCAATTTTAATGACCTATTTAACTGACCAACTTTTGTAAAAATATATATGAGATATACCAGATAAAGGTGATTTGAGCAGGCCAAAATTGGAACTGAATTGGTCATTTTGGCCTGCTGCCTGTACTTTATGAAAAGTCTGAATTACCCATTTTAATAAAGCCGTTGAAATATTTACCAATTTTGCAAGGCAAAAGTTATTTGGAACAAGATTAATAACTGGATGATTGTTTTATTATAATTTACTTTGACAGGAAGATAGTGAAGGCCCTCCTAGTACAGAGAAGATTCGAGGGTTTTATGAGCATTACTTGTTAGAAATGGAGGAGAAGGGAACAAGTTCTTCAGAACTTCAGAAGTAAGCAGTTTGTTATGATTCTGGAGCCATAAACCAGTAATATAGATCTGGAATTTCAATATTGAATTTAAAAGTCTTTGAAAATGTGCTCTATTTACATGTTTCAATAGTATATCTTTCAATAGCATAAAAGTTGTGTTAAGACTGATTTCTGATTTTTGATGCCTAGAATAGGAAAACTGTTTTTATACTTAATCCACTGTATAACTGAATTAGTCATCATGTTTATATCTTCTATGTTACCTATGTGGTATTATATGTCGACCGACAACTTACAGGTTTGAGCAGTTCTGTGCCAACTACATTCAGGAATGGTGGTTAGCACAGCGCCAGAAGAATATCGAGGTTACAGCGCCTAGTCCACAACCTAGTCCACAACCAATTGTCACTGTGTCGCCGCCACCTCCACCTCCACCCCCTAAACGCAAGTGGGAGTTCCTGACGGAGAGGCAGGCCGCTGTCATCATACAGAAAGCTTGGAGACGCCATATAGTAGGAATCTTGTTATAAACAAGCTGTTCTGTGATTTATCAGTTATAAGCAAGCTGTTCTGTGATTTATCAGTTATAAACAAGCTGTTCTGTGATTTATCAGTTATAAACATGTCGTCAGGCAGAATCTGCTCAACTTCACACAAACATTATCATTAATTTCTTGACACTTTTGAAGTCAGATTGACATACAAAAAAATACAGATAGTGATATTTCAACCATTAAGTAATGTCTCAGCCACTGTCTGTAATATTTGCTGTGAGATTCACCGTCGGTTGTGATATGTTATTTCTACAGGACATACAGGTGTACCAGTACTACAGGGATCTCATCAACTTTAAGGCACGAGGTAACCCCAGCCTCATGTTACGCTGTATCAACCCAAATGAGTCCAAGTACCTAGATGCAGCATCTGGAGTGCATGTCAAGTTCAGACTGGCAGGGGTGAGTACTCTATTACCTCTTCACAGACACGGGACAATATCACAACCCAACGGGTCACATCTGGAATGAAGTATGTTGATGTTGTTTAAGTTGATTTTTGTTATTCATTGTAAAGTATAGCCTGTCTATGACTTAAAGGACAAGTTGAAATTGGTTATAGTAACTTGTAGAACAAGCTAAACATTTTGAACGGTAGAATTATTTGTCTATGATAAAATAGGAGCTTGTAAGCTTTTATGAGCCTTCATTAACACTGTAGTCAGAGACAGAATCCTTGACCTACATTTGAAAATCTCATTAAATACACTTTTTGAGTCTACATACACTGTTGGAGTCTAATTCACAATCAACATGTGTGAAAGACAAAATATTGAAAAACAAAGCAACAGCTTGATTTAGAGTTTGTAAAAATATTTTCTGTTTCAGGGTTCTACACCTAGTGTTGAATGAATTGTTCAGTAAAACTTGACTTGTTTGTATGCCCCCCCCCCCCAGCAACATCACATGCTTATGTGACTTCATGAGTAGAACATGTTAAAGACATTTTGTAACCTTGACCTTTGACCTTGTATTTTGTGAACTTGCTTTAGTTCTTAAGAGTTGGAGTGGGATATTTATGTCTTACATACACATTTCTAGCTTATTCAAATTTGAACAGAAATGAACTATAAAGAGGTGAACTTTGGTTGGAGTTACTGTTTTATGTTTGATACTTTCCATGTAATCACTGTCTAACTCTACAACAGGAGCGGTTCCCACCCAACATTTACTACAAGATCTTCACACACAGACCCATCCAGGACATGTGTGCCAACAGTCCTAAGGATTACACTGTTGCTACTGTCAAACTACAGATGGCTAAGGACGTCCATAGCAACTTCCGCAAAGGTCCCACGCCAGATGGTCAGTCCTGTTAACGTGATACTGTCAGTCAGTAACAATGTCTATATATAATAAACAGATCATTCTTAATTCCACAATAGACATGTAAATACAGTGTTTTTCCTTATATTCCCATTTGCCTGAAAGAAAATTGAAAAATAAAGACTTTCACAAAATGTTTAACAGCTGAGAATATCGTTGAAATAGCTACAGCATGTAGTAGAACACATGTTAGAAAATTTCTGTCTGGACAGTTTATTTTCTGTGGGTGAGCTTACGTCATTGTGACCCTCAGGTGATATGATGAGGGTGTATTGAATGTGTAGCTCATATAATCACTAACAATGTGTTTATTGTACATGTAAGTTGGAATTACTTATGTTTGTGTCACAGACCAGTGTGGCTGGTACAGACGGTCAGAGAACAACGGCTGGAGGCTGGTATCTGACCGCCTCATACACCACATCATGGCTGACCCCATCACATGGGAGACGTCCAATAAGAAATACAAGTTTAGTCATGACAAGGTGAGTGTCTTGTCACTGGGAATCTGTTATCCGATTCAGTGATTGTTCTATATAAATATCAAAAGCACAATCAAATGAATTACAGCTTGGATTTAGCCCATTAGCTCAATATAGGTATGATATCAGATATATTTAAGATCTATCTATACCTTGTAAATTTTGGGAAAGATATCTGTAAATATGTGTGTGCAAAGTAAAATTATAACAAAAAATAATTTGAGGAGATAGCACTTCTGTTGTTAAACGAAAAACAAAATATAAAGAAAAGTTTTAACTCTAAAGATACAATGCAATCACTTAAAGTTACTAATGTAACAGTTGGACTTATACTTACATGTATATCTCTTGATTTTGTTTAGATAATAAGAAGACAGGATGTAGAAAAACAGAAAAAGCTTAAGAAGATTGACTGGATGAAGAAAATGTAAGACATACATGTACTATCACAAATAATGTTAATGTAGGTTACAGCAGTTATCAGTTGTGGTTTGAACTTTGTCTGCTCACCAGATAGCTCACTTCAAACTGTTTAGGTTTTCAAACTGACTTGCTTGAATTCTTGCCTGGGCTGTCCCATTTTTGTCTGCTCCTGTTATGTTTGGTGTAAAATGTTTGTTTTTTTTCCCTTCTAAATGAGCTATCAATCAACAATTATAAATTCCAATTTGCAACACTTTTGTTAGAAGCTTTTAGCTTACCTTTGGTGAGCTTATGCCATGACACAGTGTCAATCCTCTTTCTGCCTGTCCATTATCTGTCAACTTTTCCTATGAAATGCTACGAGTTAAAAATGGCTAAGGGATTCAGACTGAAGTCCTTCTGGCAAGGGAGCTCAATGTTGTATAAATGGAGGGTATTGCCTCTCAGGGGGGCAGAGGGGCAGAGGGGCAGAGAGCAATATGGGCAATAGTGCCAATGGAGGTAAATCATCAAAAGGGCCTCTTGTTGATAAATCCTAGAGTCAGTATTTGGAGAATTTTAGTTGCTGTTAAAAATGTGTATGATTTGACGATGTACTTTGACTGAACACGATATAAGAGAATGAAATAAAGTGTTAGATGGAATGTTGAATTATATCATTAGTCCAATATGTATCACACATAGCCATCACAAGTACCATATAGATTACTAGCCATCAATACAAATTTATAAACAATAATTTAGATAATTCTTTATTGTTTTGTGCTGATAGACTTAAACATCACCTATGTTACAGGTATAAAGAAGGTATGCTGAAAGCCAAGTCTGACGACCAAGAGACTGTGACGTTAATAGAGGGCGCTGCAGCGGGAATGGTGGCAACGGTCGATCAGATGGGTCCAGACGCACTGGAGGACTGGGAAGTGGATGAACTCCTCGACTGGACAACTAGCCTAAACTTTGATGAGTATGTCACAACCACAGTTATTACTATGGACTATTCCAGAATTCAATTGATCCACCTACCGACAAGTCATTTTNTGCGATAACTTGAGTTTCCTTGGGCCGATCAAACTCAAACTTCATGCAGTGCTTCCTTACCAAAAGTGCTTGCTTTGGATTGATTTTCAGGTCCGAAGGTCAAAGGTCAAGGTCACTGTTACTATAAATAGAAAATCTGCTTTCGTGCGATAACTTGAGTTTCCTTGGGCCGATCAAACTCAAACTTCATGCAGTGCTTCCTTACCAAAAGTGCTTGCTTGGGATTGCTTTTTAGGTCTGAAGGTCAAAGGTCAAGGTCACTGTTACTATAAATAGATAGCAAGTGCCTTAAAACTTGGTATTCTTCCCAGAATAACAGATTATATAACAATATGATGCCATCCAAAAACATAATCTATGATTATTGCTTACTTTTTACATCATTTCTTGAAATAAAAAGTGTATCTATTTCTTCGTAATCTCCCAGCTTCCTGCACAGGCGACACATCCACTTCCGTGGAATTCTTGTTTACACATCGGGCCCACTTTATAGATGTTATCAATTCATGTCTCCTATAACAATGTTAAACCCTATATTTGGAGTGGTGGAGTATTTCAGAAAAAATCAGCAATTTACTGTGACATAGACATGTAGTGGGTCACAAATGGCAGGGAACCTAGTGACAAGTGCTGCTGTTATTGGCAACATTTCTGGTTAAACTATTCAGAGAGGTTTACAATTCTTAGCCATTGACTTATAGAGAGATCAAAATTTGCTATAAGAAAATAAATTCTCACTAAAAACAATGTTTCAGTTTTTGTCATATTTCTAAATTACTAAAGTTCAACTGAAAGAAGTGGTTGAAATTTGAATAAAAAGGAAAAGCAGGACATAAACGGTTTTGTATCAGGATTAATTTTGCCAATACTTAAAGTGTTGATTATTGTATGTTATGCTACAGGTATCTATCAAACTGGAAAGACACAGCAACAAGTGCCTACTCAGAGAAAAAAGTTGGTAAGTAGCTCATTAACTGAATATAAAGGTTATCTTTATATAAGGGCTGACAAAGGTTAGCTTTACAGAATATAAAGGTTATCTGTATATAGGAGCTGATAAAGGTTAGCTTTACTGAATATAAATGTTATCTGTATATAGGAGCTGATAAAGGTTAGGTTTACTGAATATAAAGGTTATCTGTATATAGGGGCTGATAAAGGTTAGCTTTACTGAATATAAAAGTTATCTGTATATCAGAGGTGATAAAGGTTAGGTTTACTGAATATAAAGGATATCTGTATATAGGGGCTGATAAAGGTTAGCTTTACTGAATATAAAGGCTATCTGTATATCAGAGCTAATAAAGGTTAGCTTAACTGAATATAAAGGTTATCTGTATATCAGAGCTGATAAAGGTTAGCTTCACAGAATATAAAGGTTATCTGTATATAGGGGCTGATAAAGGTTAGCTTTACTGAATATAAAGGCTATCTGTATATCAGAGGTTATAAAGGTTTGCTTTACAGAATATAAAGGTCATCTGTATATAGGAGCTGATGAAGGTTAGCTTAACTGAATATAAAGGGTATCTGTATATCAGAGCTAATAAAGGTTAGCTTAACTGAATCTAAAGGTTATCTGTACATAGGAGCTGATAAAGGTTAGCGTTACTTAATATAAAGGTTATCTGTACATAGGAGCTGATAAAGGTTAGCTTTGCTGAATATAAAGGTTATCTGTATATCAGAGGTGATAAAGGTTTGCTTTACAGAATATAAAGGTTATCTGTATATCAGAGATGACAAAGTTTAGCTTTACTGAATATAAAGGTTATCTGTATATAGGGGCTGATAAAGGTTAGGTTTACAGAATATAAAGGTTATCTGTATATAGGAGCTGATAAAGGTTAGCTTCACAGAATATAAAGGTTATCTGTATATAGGGGCTGATAAAGGTTAGGTTTACTGAATATAAAGGTCATCTGTATATAGGGGCTGATAAAGGTTAGGTTTACTGAATATAAAGGTCATCTGTATATAGGAGCTGATAAAGGTTAGCTTAACTGAATATAAAGGTTATCTGTATATCAGAGCTGATAAAGGTTAGGTTTACAGAATATAAAGGTTATCTGTATATAGGAGCTGATAAAGGTTAGGTTTACAGAATATAAAGGTCATCTGTATATAGGAGCTGACAAAGGTTAGGTTTACAGAATATAAAGGTCATCTGTATATAGGAGCTGACAAAGGTTAACTTTGCAGAATATAAAGGTTATCTGTATATCAGAGCCGATAAAGGTTAGCTTTACTGAATAATAGTTTTGAAAAAATACACTGTTTGTTTGGCTTGGAAAAATTGCGCATCCATATTTCATGTAGATGTTACAATTAAGTTATAGATGAAAACAAAGACAAAAGTGTAGCATTAAACTTAACCCAACATTCCACATGTCCCACATTGTCAGGGATAGTTAACCCAACATTCCACATGTCCCACCTTGTCAGGGAAAACACCATGACTTTACCAGTCCTTATGAATCATATGTATCATATTTGTATGAATTCATCTTTTTGACATTTTAGATAATTTTGACGACAACATATAGGTTATTCATCACAACATTGATGTTGTAAGGTTGTAGTTGTGATCACTGATTGGTATAAAGATGTTCTCGTGTATAAAATGTCCAGCACTTGTTGGAATGTCACCATCTTTTACCTTGGATGTTTACGAGATATAGGTGAGAGGTAGTGACAGAATAAAACACAATCTTTTCCACACAGCCGGGAAGGTACATGATTCATGCTGAAATATTTGATCTGTTGAATATTCACATCTACATGGTAAGCAGGAAATCTTTTGCACATGTTGAATTTGTGAATTGAATATTCACATCTACATGGTAAGCAGGAAATCTTTTGCACTTGTTGAATTTGTGAATTGAATATTCACATCTACATGGTAAGCAGGAAATCTTTCGCACATGTTGAATTTGTGAATTGAATATTCACATCTACATGGTAAGCAGAAAATATTTTGCTCTTGTTGAATTTGTGAATCCAGTATTCATATCTGAATTGTCAGCAGGAAATCTTTTGCACTTGTTGAATTTGTGAAACCAGTATTCATACCGAAATTGTTGGCAGGAAATCTTTTGCACATGTTGAATTTGTGAATCCAGTATTCATATCTAAATTGTCAGCAGGAAATCTTTTGCACTTGTTGAATTTGTGAATCCAGTATTCATATCTAAATTGTTGGCAGGGAATCTTTTGCACATGTTGAATTTGTGAATTGAATATTCACATCTAAATTGTTGGCAGAAAATCTTTTGCACATGTTGAATTTGTGAATCCAGTATTCATATCGAAATTGTTGGCAGGGAATCTTTTGCACATGTTGAATTTGTGAATTGAATATTCACATCTAAATTGTTGGCAGGAAATCTTTTGCACTTGTTGAATTTGTGAATTAAATGAGCACTCTTGCTACCGATTACTTCCTTTTTTTCATTATTAGATAGCTCACTCAGTGTGTAGGGTGACCGTATTACCATATTTTTCTTTAAAAACAAGAAAAAATGTGTTTTGAGATCATGTTTGATTTTCAGATCAATCCAAGAAAGATACCACATATCCAGTGAAGAGTAATATATTACTGCATTAAGTTTGTTAAAAACAAAGATCTTCTCGACAAAACAATTGACTGATACATCTTACTACTGGTACATGTAAGGTCAAGTTCTGGTTGTCTTTGATTCCAGTTATTGAAATTCTTTATACTGAAGAAAATAACTCAGTACAAAAAAAATTGCCAGTAAAGTTGTGTCAAAAATGTTGAGAATTTCTTCAGTTTAGCTAGTTATAAATTATAGACCGGTTTGAGCAGGCTCGGCATGCTGTGCTTGTACCTCCATATGTGGCCTTTTTGTTCATACAAGTATTGAATGACATGTTTGTAGTGGACGTCATGTCTTTAAGAATGCTTTGACTTACATGAGCAATGCAAGTACTTGATAGCAGAAACTATAAATTTAAACATGTTGACATCAAATCCATATCAGGTCTACATTACTTTGGTGAATTTAAAAGCTTTTGAATATTTATGAGTTCTAAAAATGCTTTCAAAACATTTGTCTGGTTGTTGAACTATTATAGGCTTGTCTTGTTGTAGTCTAGTAATAACATGACTTTGCCTGCATGGTGTACAATGTGTGATTTAGTATTTTTATGATATAATGCTGAAAAAACCCAGATTTGTTTTTGCTCTTAGAAGGCAAATTCAACACAGGTTGAATATATAACACCTAAGCAGTAACTGGTAAGTAGATGGTGGTTGAATTTGTTATAAAAGGTCAGAGGTAAAACTGTTTTGCAGAGACATGAATGATACACATAGTGTTAAGAAGATCTAACTTCAAATGAATAATAAGTGTCCCCAAATGTGGGGCATAATGAGCAGGCTGATGATAACTCCCAAGTTTTATCAAAATTTGCAGACGTTAAAAAACAGGATTTCTATATGCTCAAAAGACAATGCACAACAATGATTGAAAGGCAGTTGCAATATATTATCTAGGTGACTCNTTAATGCAAAGGTCGCCTGAACATGACCCTCTATGGGATGTTGTTAGATCTTCAACGCGACATATCAGTAATCGGGAGCGATGTGAAGATATAATTTTAATTAGATTGAAACTGGTGGTACAATGGGCCAAGGTTATGATAAAACTGGTGGTACAATGGCCCAAGGCTATGATAAAACTGGTGGTACAATGGCCCAAGGCTATGATAAAACTGGTGGTACAATGGCCCAAGGCTATGATAAAACTGGTGGTACAATGGCCCAAGGCTATGATAAAACTGGTGGTACAATGGCCCAAGGCTATGATAAAACTGGTGGTACAATGGCCCAAGGCTATGATAAAACTGGTGGTACAATGGCCCAAGGCTATGATAAAACTGGTGGTACAATGGCCCAAGGCTATGATAAAACTGGTGGTACAATGGCCCAAGGCTATGATAAAACTGGTGGTACAATGGCCCAAGGCTATGATAAAACTGGTGGTACAATGGCCCAAGGCTATGATAAAACTGGTGGTACAATGGCCCAAGGCTATGATAAAACTGGTGGTACAATGGCCCAAGGCTATGATAAAACTGGTGGTACAATGGCCCAAGGCTATGATAAAACTGGTGGTACAATGGCCCAAGGCTATGATAAAACTGGTGGTACAATGGCCCAAGGCTATGATAAAACTGGTGGTACAATGGCCCAAGGCTATGATAAAACTGGTGGTACAATGGCCCAAGGCTATGATAAAACTGGTGGTACAATGGCCCAAGGCTATGATAAAACTGGTGGTACAATGGCCCAAGGCTATGATAAAACTGGTGGTACAATGGCCCAAGGCTATGATAAAACTGGTGGTACAATGGCCCAAGGCTATGATAAAACTGGTGGTACAATGGCCCAAGGCTATGATAAAACTGGTGGTACAATGGCCCAAGGCTATGATAAAACTGGTGGTACAATGGCCCAAGGCTATGATAAAACTGGTGGTACAATGGCCCAAGGCTATGATAAAACTGGTGGTACAATGGCCCAAGGCTATGATAAAACTGGTGGTACAATGGCCCAAGGCTATGATAAAACTGGTGGTACAATGGCCCAAGGCTATGATAAAACTGGTGGTACAATGGCCCAAGGCTATGATAAAACTGAACATTTCACTGGCATATATATATAATAAATAGTTAAGATACATATAAATGGACAAATGATACTAAAAGAATGGTTTCTGATTTCTTACACACTTAATTATTACAGAGGACCGCATCAACCTGTACACCAGCGCCATGGATCCTTACGAGTTCTCCCTGTCAACGGGTCCGTCCCGCTTCCAATCCACACAGCAGTCTCGCAACACCCCTACCTCCAGCATGTCAGGTGCCCGTGTCCAGGCCTTATAGGGGGAGCTATCTAAACCTACATGGGAAGGGGATCCTCCCTGAGGAGGACACTCACAGATCACTAACGAATCACCAGAGGCCACTTTGGTTGAAGGTCATTCAGGGATAATGAGGAGTTCAAAGAGGACAGGCACGGTTTGTCAACAGTCTTCTTCAAGTTACAGATAATCAGTGAGGCGAGGGCTAGCTCTCGAGTTTGTGACTCAAATGTACAAGTAGTGGGGATTGTATCTGTACTAATTGTCCAGGATAAACATTATAAGGACCATCTGGTCTGGTCCTCACAACTAACTCCTGTATCTGATCTCTTTTGTTACACACTTTATATTTTACGAGTTGTTATGATCACAGGTTTCTGGTCTTGATGACACCTTCTTTTTACCAATCTTAAACTGTTATTTGTTTAAATTTTGTATATCTGTATTAGATGTCCTTCAAACGTTTCTTTTTAAATCAGGTAACTTTACATTGATTTAGGATATTTTCAGTTCTCCCACCAAGAGAAAACAGTATACCTTGTGATGAGTTTTGCAAAAAAGGGTGTCATTGTCTTATTTTGCTTTTAAATCAAATTCAGTGCCTTTGGAATCAAGCCTTATTAAAGCACTTGGTAAAACATTAGAATTATTGTAGAATCAATGTTTATAGCCATTCTGACGATACTAGCTCTGGAACTTAGGAGCTTACATTCCCTCTCCTAGCTACTAGCTTCATTGATCAGTGAACTAGCTATGTTTATGGTTGATAAGGTAAATGTTCCATATCTGAATGTTATTCAGCCATGAACTGTATATTTAATCTATTATGTCAATCATGTGATCTATTTAAAACATTGTGTTAATTGTGTAAGTTTATTATCAGTATTTTTTCATGTCATATATTTGTTTAAATTTGTATATTTTTTTTATTTATTTGTGAGATGTGTTTGTGTGAATCTTTTGTATAAAACAGGAAATTTTTGTATATATATAACATCCTTTTGAATGTCAAAGGAGAAATTAAAAATATTATATAAAGTTCCAAGCTTGTTGTGTGATGAGTCCACTGTGCATTAGATGGTAAATTTTAAATTTTCCATCGTTTTAACTTTGTATCAAGCCTTAGAATGAAGGAATATTGCAGATGCTGAACTTGACCAATAGTTTACGCTTCATTGATTTGGTTAGGAAGAATTGCTCTTATCTTAATGTAAGGTTAAGAAGAATTGCTCTTATCTTAATGTAAGGTTAAGAAGAATTGCTCTCGTCTATATCTTGCCTACTANGCTCTTATCTTAATGTAAGGTTAAGAAGAATTGCTCTTATCTTAATGTAAGGTTAAGAAGAATTGCTCTCGTCTATTTCTTGCCTACTACAAGTGCTAAGTTGATTATACTTGTATCAATTGTGTATCTAGGGTTGCTCTACTGAATGCATATTGTGGATGCTGATTTTGACCTATATGTTACGCTTCATGTCTTTAATTACTAGCACTGCGAGCAGGGGCTATCGATGACAGCGTCTGCTTGTATGTATTTGCAATGAGCTGATGGACTAAAGAGTGTCTGTATGTCTGTCCCCCTCTCTGTCTCTCCCTCCCTCTGTCGGTCCCTCTCTCTGTCTTTCCTTCTCTCTCTGTGTCTGTCTGTCCATTCATCTCTGGTAGAAACCATAACAAGATGTGACCTTGATTTTTTTTAAATATGTGTCGGTTTTAAAATTCCAGAGAAGTCAAAACACAAGCAAATATGATTTTTTTTTTTGTAGAATTTATTTGAAGATTTCATTGTATTACAATACATTTCTGACTGTACAACAGTAATAAACTTAACACAATCTGGATGGACATACGCTTAGTAGCGTGACACAGATACAGGAACAAAATATCAGTCTAGTAGCCAACATCATCATTCCTTAGAACTGTAGCTCACAGAATAAATTATGGGGTATTGGTAATTTGCAAAAATCTGGAAGTTGTAGATGCAGTACAAAATAAATGTACAAGATTTTTTTCTGTGGGAAGGCACTTTTGTTTAAGTGAGGTAGGATTACTTAGAATTTACTGGACTTTGGGCCCTGAGAGGAATTATGATGTACCTCGCTAAAAACCTATCTTGCTTAAAAACACATGAAAATGTACCATAGTCTACTACATGAATTTATAGCTCAATGGTTTTTACGGAAACCAAATACAATTTCAGTTAGATTAAGAAAAACAGGGTTTATAATAATTACATCATACACGCCAATTTTCATCTATCTACTACTCGACTAAAGTAAATGCATGTCTGTAACAAAGTCTTTCACACAAATACACTAACACAGAATTATCACCAATTTACTGAAATGTTAACATATTCACCTAGAAACTTTAAAGACAATACAACTGACTTCATGCTCTTTTTTTCTTAAGTCCTTTTTCCAAAACAGTAAATAGTAATTATATCTATGCATGGTAAAAACTAAGTTTGTCTAGGGTACTTTTAAAACCTTTGGCTATGATAGAGCAATATATTTCAACTGCTTTGGTTTTCCACAACTACCCAGTAATCTAGCAGTTTGATCTTTTCAATGTTAATTTGATGGAAGCCCACGTCTAATATTTCTGGGAGTGCAGACCAGTTTCTTGATTCTAGTTCAAACGAATAGTTACCAACAAATCATTAATTGGTTTTATTGAACTGGACACATGGCAGAACTTAACTTACACTCTTTAAATATCAATGTTAATTTTAATAAATAAAATGGAAAATGAAAAGAATAATTTGTTTCTTGACCCATATTTAAGAGGTCTGACTGGAGAGAAAAATGCAGAAACTACAACAACCGGTATTAAGGTGAGGAAAGCATGTCGTTGGTTTGTCCTCTAACAGACACACACCTGGCTGATGGTACAACGAATCAACAGCATACCTCTACCATCCTAGCAAATACAGGTCAGGTGTTCTGTCGTAGGCAATTCAGATGGAAAGAAATTTTAAACTGGGTTTGATTGGATGTAGTTTCGGCAAAACTCGGAACCACATCAAGCTTTAATTTATAGAACAGGATCAATGTCATGGAAACCATATAATGACAAATTTATTCCATTCTTAATGCGTTAAAACATGCTGTGTAAACCAGAGTATAGTACAACTTCTTCACTAGTATACAACATATTTCAACCAATTAAATAAAGGCGCGCGATACTATTCAACCAATTAAATAAAGGCGTGCGATACTATTCAACCAATTAAATAAAGGCGCGCGATACTATTCAACCAATTAAATAAAGGCGCGTGATACTATTCAACCAATTAAATAAAGGCGTGTGATACTATTCAACCAATTGAGTAGGGGCAGAAAGTATCTTTCAGTCAATCAAATAATCCAGTTATAGTAGAACGGAGTGATATCCAATATTGATTGTTTTCTGTTATTATCTGTGATCAAAGCACTGGGAGTTACAGGTAAGATTTGTGTGACATGTAACTGGATTTATACTGTAATTATAAGTGTATTAGCTATATAAATATTTACAACCCTACCTACTGTACACAATAATATACAACAGAAATATGTACACTGTACACGGTCAACAATGTTACCTGAACAACAAGTATCTATATGCACACAATATGCCAATATGTTGTCTATTCATATATAATGATGTAATGAGATTCAAATATTCAGATGAAGAATGCAATATACTGGCCCAAATCACCATGAACCAGGAGTCGTACTAAATGTAAACGCCGGTCGGAGCATACACACATTCACAACTCTATACATATATGTGCATACTATATAAGGAAGAAACAGGGGAGGAGGAGAGGGGGG